GCGCGGCCTTGGCCAGGCGTGGGCCTGTCTTGGAGCCGGCTGCCCTGGCTCTTTCGGACACAGGAGAAGCTTCTGGTAGCTTCACACAGAAGCCACCCCTGCAGCCCCCCCACTACCAAAAACTTGCCACGCAAACCCAATAGAATGTGAGTAGGTGTCAAAACACCTTACAGATTAAGGTCACTCTCTTTTCTCCCATATTACAAATGGAAAAGTGGATAGCTGGCTCAGTGGCAAAGCTAGCAGCAGAACTGTTCGTTTCCCGTTTAGATTGACCACTACAGCAGGCTTGTTGGTCAGAAATAATGTGCGATTTCTGCAGCTGTGAGAGACGTACCTACTTTATATAAAAAGTATATAAAGATTTTGCCAAGCAAATGAAGACTGCAAGTAGAGATTTTATTTTGTTGTTTGTCTAAAATGCAGGCGCGTTTTTGTATTTAAAAGGCGTAGTGGCAGCTTTCTGTTTAATGTATGTATAAGCATGCATCCAGCCTAGCAGAAGTGTATCTGAAGTGGATTTTGAAATGGCAGCAACATCTTGTGAGTGTAAAATTCTCAGTACTTAGTATTTTGTTCTATTTTTGGAACAATTACGGAAAATGGAGATTAGACTAGACTGTACAGACTGTACTGCCTGTATTCTGTCTATGTATTCTTACTAAATGTCTTTAAAGTTTGCTGACTTTTTTTATTGCATATAAACAGTGCAGAAGTAACCTAAAATGTGAACAAGACTGCAAATGCTGGGAGTAAATGTCTGACCAATACAATATTCAGCTTACTCTGTGCAGTTGCTAGCAGTAGCCAAGTTTTATACTACAATTTTTCATCTGGGAGAGAGGGGAAAATGCTTTAAACCACTACTGGAATAGATAGAGCAGTAGCTAAACTGCGAAGTGCAGAAATTGTGCATTATCACACTAAATACTGTCAAAGCAGGAACTTTGCAAGGTGTTGGACCAAAACCACGTACTTCGACTTACACAGATGAAAGCAAGGGTAGCAAACGTTATTCATATACTACCACATCCATGAATAAGTATAGGGTTTGGCCAAGAAGATGACAGTTGTAAGAATGTGGCAATTCCTCAGCTGTGAAACACTTTTAAAGGAATTACTGGGCATCAACGTGCTGAAATTTAATATTTTATTTAACGCTAACTGAACTTTAGCTGCTGGTTAATGAACTGGCACCACATGAAGTATTTACAAACACCAGCAAAGCAATACCAACACAGATGTTTCAATGTTTTGTTTATATATCATTGACTATTTCTGTATTTCTGATTAGGCAGAAGCTGGATAAACATACAGGCAGTCCCAGGAGCAGATACCAGAACCTACAATGGTTCCATTTTTGCACTATAGAAATATTTGAGGGGGTTAGGGTTCTTAGGGCTCTATTTTTGCCCAGAGAGTACTTGGGGCAGTGGAGGTAAGATGCTGAATACTTTTTAGCATGTTTGTGGGAGCACCCCAAGTTAATGCATATCCTCAAAATGAAACCAGTAATCCACAGAATATTCAGGTTGGAAAAGACCTTTAAGATCACCAAATCCAACCATCAACCCAACACCACCATGCCCACTAAACCATGTCCTGAAGTACCCCATCTACGCATTTTTTGAACACTTCCAGTGATGGTGACTCCACCACTTCCCTGGGCAGCCTGTGCCAATGCTTGACCACTCTCTCACTAAAGAAATTTTTCCTAACATCTAGTCTAAACCTCCCCTGGCACAACTTGAGGCCGCTATAGACAATGTAACAGATTTTGAATGTTCGGCTCAATGTCACAACACAGAAGATGCCTGCTAGGCAGTATGCAAAGGTCCAAGGTCTGTCTTGCGTAAAAAGACAAGAATGCGGAGCAGATTTATGCCACGTTCAGGAAAAATGCAAGGAGTTTACCTTTCCTCTTGTCTTTCATAGAGGCAGCAAGGCCACATCCAGAGTGCACTAATAAACCATGACTGGTTTTGTTGTCCTGTAGAAGAAAAACTGCTCTGGTTATAGTATTTCTTCCTGACGGAGAAACTGGAAAATGGGAACAAGTGCTACTTAAATTAATCACCATAAAGAACTGGATTTAGGTGGAGTAGGACAAGCATTCTGGTCTCAAAGGAACCAAGTTTTCATTGGTGTGCAAGATGGCTGCACAAGCCTGCAGCTGAAGGATGACAGACAACTGCTGTGGAAAACAGTAAGATCTGCATGTAGTTTTGAAAATCTGAAGTTAAGAAAAAATGTCAAAAAAAAGGAGTCAGTGACACCCAGGGACACTGAGTCAACTGAGGTTTACAGGGGATGGATTAGTTTAATTACTTTGTGCTAACAAAGGAAATGGGGAATTATAAAAGAAATTTACAAATACGTCAGTGCAGAAAAAAATATTTGAAGGAGAAAGTGAGGAGTTGCTCACTCTCCTTATTTAATAGTAATGAAGACTGATATGGTAGAGCAACAGGACTTTAAAAGAGAAGCTTTTTGATGAGTTGGAAGTTTACACATAACAACAAGCTGGCTGATATGTATAGCAGGATATGAATGAAAGTGACAAAAAATATGTACCAATGCCAGTTTTTCTTTAAGAAAATGTAATGGA